CTTTACAACTTGTGAAAATGCTGTAAGTAGGAGAGCAAAAGCTGGACAGACAAACAGACTGAGCAGAAAGGCTGCGGTGTGCGTTGTGTTTGTGTGGACTCTCCAACATCACATCACGTCATGTGAAATCTACTGAGACGCAGAGACTCGTTTCTTCATATCAGCTATGAAATAAACAAAGATCTATGTTCTACCAAACATYTRAGTTCCTCTGTGTTTACAGTAATTATGGTAATAAACTCGTGCTCAAAGTTAATATTTTCAGACTCAGAATGGATGGAAGAGCCGGTTGCGCAACACAGCAGTGCACACACACACACACACACACACACACACACACACACACTGACACACAATCGCTCGTTCTTTGTGTAATAAACATATTTTATTCCTATTTTTACTTAGGATTTTTTTCTCACTCACATTATATTAAATTCATTATGTTTCTGACATTAGAAATCATTTCTGATCACAGGGATCAAACAAACGTGTCCTTCACACATGCAGGAAGTAATTWGCATCTGTTTAACATATGTTAATGAAGGCGTGTCAGGGGAGGAGTCTTACCTACGCTCAGTTCCACGTTAATTGTGAYGTACAACAGAAATGTGCGTGGATTCAGGTGTACGCACAGTTTGATACATCTGGATGTTTTTGTGCGTACGCAGTTTTCTGGATTTGACCGTACGTCAGGTTTCAGTAAGAAATCCACACAAGTCTGTGTACATGAGGCCGCTGCTCTCTTGTTTTAAGCGTCATGCTGCTGGATAGTCTGGTACAGCCTTCGGTATGTTTCCTCTGAGTTTGGTGTAGTCCATTATTATTGTTCTGTCACAAATAAAACAAAATAAGATTTGCTTGTTTAATTATGATGCCGCTCACATCGAGGCGGCTCTCTGCTCAGCAGGGCCAAGGTAGAATAAGGTCATGCTGAGGGCAGCAGCGCCCTCTTCTGGATGAAATCAAAACTACACTGAAATAAGTTTTAAACGGATTGAAGGAATGTTAAACTTGCAAACCATTATTCAACAATTAATCACAAGTGGTTTAAAAAGGGTTGTGTGTATCTATGTGTTTCTGTGGTTGCAGGTTACCTGGTTCTTAGAGACCTKGGTTTTAAGGTGGACCAGTACATTGCGTCAGAGGTGTGTGAGGACTCGATTTCAGTGGGTGTTGTCAGACATGAAGGAAAGATCCAATATGTCCACGATGTCAGGAACATCACCAAGAAAAATGTAAGAAAACACTCTTTTCTTTCTTGTTTTGTTCTAAAGTTACAACATATTTAATTGAAATAGGCGAAACTGGTTTGGAAACAATGTAAAGATCTAAGCTGTGCTTTCAATCTGAAAATATGTTTAAAGTGTAACTCTGGCCTTTTTGAAGTACCCTGTGGAACGGTTTGTTTTTGGAACAACTTGAGTTTGAAGAAAAAGTTTTAAATCCAGCAGGACGACCGAGCTAACACACTGTAAAACCTGATAAGTTAGTTGAACTCAAAAGACTTGAGGAAACCGATTGCCTTAAATGGTTTAAGTTTATTAACCTAAACAATTCAGCGTAAAAAATTAATCTATTTAAGTACTTGTAACTCAAATGTTTTCATTACAGTAATATGGGTAAATTAATTTAAAAGGACCATTTCAGTCAGTAAACTGGACTTAAAACTAGTAAGTATTCTACAATCAAATATATTATTGCTTTTAAAGGCACAGTGTGTAGGATTAGTTGTTTTCAGCGACATCTAGTGGTTGAGTGGTTGAATCATCCTCCCTGGTCCTCCCCCC